GTCCCCAAAAAAAAAAAAAAAAAAAAAAAAAAAAAAAAAGATATGATAGCTCCAAAACATGAAGTATTCCATTTTTTAAAAGTTTCTCTGAGATTTTACATAACATTAGAATGATATATTCCTTGTAAATTTAGTGGAAATCACCTATAAATTCACATAGGTTTGGTGCATCAGTCAGAGGAATTTAAACCACTGATTAAATTTCCCTAGGGAGGCTTTTATGTCTTTTTGAGTCAGTTTTCTAAGTTTTTAAAATGAATTTATCCAATCATTAAGTTTTTTAAAGGTACTGACACAGGGACTTCCCTGGTGGTCTAGTGCTTAAGAATCCACCTTCCAATGCAGGGGATGTGGGTTCCACCCTTGGTCAGGGAACTAAGCCCACATGCAGCCTGAGTATGAGGGCCACAACTAGAGAGCCTGCATGCCACAGCAGAGGATCCCGCATGCCGCAACAAAGACCCACCGCAGCTGGGGGTGGGGGTGGGGGAAATATGTACTGGCATAATCTTTTATTATCATCCCCTTATTATTCTAATCTGTGTTGAGATTATATTCCCCACTTAGTTATCTATCTCCCTCTCCTTTTTATGATCAAACTTGCCAACTTATTTTTTGCTCTTACCTCAATTATATTGTTCCTTCTAACTTTTTCGACTTTATGTTGTTCTTTTTCTAACATAAGCTGGATCCTTTGCTCATTAATGTTCACCTCTCTTCATGTGTGTAAGCCTGTATCTTTTCTTCCAACTACCACATTCAATGTATCCTACAAGTTCCACATGTAGTGTTTTCAGTATTATTACAAAGTATTTTCAACTTCCATTATTTCTTTTTTAACCAGTGAGTTACTTCTAAGTATGTTTTAGTATTTCCAAATACACAGATTTGTATTCATTTAGTTACATGCCTGTCTCCAGTCAGACTAAGCTTCATCATCATAAGTACAATTTCTCCAAGGTATTTAAATAAAAATGACCCCACTGTCCATCATCAGTACTAAAAATATGCCCAGAAATATATATACTCTTACTTGAACAAATATTTTGCCCAAACGATGCAATGAATAGGTTCTGAAGGTGTGTTACGAATTGTACAGCCAGGAAAGGTTCTCTGGGTTGGTTTGGGATGACATTCGTAACACTCAGTCACACCCTGCAAAGTCAGGACATGAGAAAAACATTTATCCCATCATGGTGGTTTCTCAATATTGTAATATAATCATAAACATTTCATTCATTCATCTATATTCCAACTGTCAAGAAAATTTTAAAATATTAGTGACTCCAAAATCCTTACTTTACAGATAAGGAACTACAACATAAAAGTTAATTGAATCTACCATAGTCACAGCTAAGACTAAGCCAGGACTTCTCTGATTCCTGGCCTGGTGAGGAGAAAATACAAGTTTACCTTGATCACACTCAACAGACAGGGAAAACTACTAGAAGGACAAATAACAACTTTCCAACCAATTATCTCTCAAAGTTGTGAAACTCAGTTATTTAAATATTATTTATAGATTTACCTTATATGAAGATTAAGTGAATTTAAAGCATTAATTTCCAGATCTATCCAGATACATGGAAAAATCCTAAGTATTACGAAACCAAATACTCTTCATTTCGTTGCTAAAGGGTTATGTTTAAAGTTATACTGTAAGGAATCCTTGAAAGAAGTCCACGGCACCTGAGATAATTTTCTAAAACTTAGAATGAATATTCTTTATCTTGGCAATTCTCAATCTCAGTCTTAACACATACTAGTGTCTCAGGATCATGGTAATGAGCAATGTCTTTCTAATAATGGTTAAAGACCCCAAACCTGCAAATAATATTTTAATATAAATTGCAGCAGATGAAGTGTTTTCTCCATAATGCCATTTCTGGTGTCCTTCCAATATGCTTTCTTGGGGGCAGCGATATGGCAAGCAGTCACCCCTCATAAACTGTTATGTATAAGTCTTTGTAGAATGATATAAATTAAGCTTTCAAAGAGTAATATTAAACAGTAAAAGCAACTGAAGCACAGCCACAATTTTCAATATGGAAAAACTGCCAAAGAGCAGACAAAAATACCAAATTTCAAGTAGAGTTTAATTCCTTTTAGTTTCAAAACCTGCAAAATGATTCTTCAAATGTATCTGTTTAATTTCTTAAAAGAATTCAAAGAAAAAAGATTTGAGCAGTAAATGAATAACAATGCTGAGATTGTATAAAACTGGGTTATGAACACACATGTATGTGTTCTTATTCTCTAGTTTTATCTAAATATTTGAAATATCAGTACTCACAAATACTCCAAAATTTTTTTTCAAAATACTCTTCAGATCTATAAATCCAGACTTTAGACAAGTAACTTTTCAGAAGGCTGGTTTACCATATATCAACTACAACATGACACGTAGTCTCATGGCTACTAAGAATTTAAAAAGGCAATTTTATTATGCTTGCCAGCCTAAGGATTTTAATATATAAGCTACATGAAACAAAATAGCAGAGAGCTAAAAGATCTTTGCCCATATTTCCAAAGCTTACTTCTTCCCTCCTTAAGGTCCCAAATAAATGTTTGGGAAGCAAAAACCAAACCAAACCAAACCAAACCAAAAAAAGTACTTTACCTTTTTGATAGTGGTTACTTGCCCAAGATAACCAGCAGTTCCACTCTCAATAAGAGGGACATCAGCTGCTAGACACATTCTATTAACATGGTTTCGGGCAGCTGGAAGAAAAATACTAGTTAACAGGAGTTTACAAAAAAAAAGAAAAAAAGAAAAAAGAAATTATGTAGTTACCTTTAATTAGGATGAAATTTACCCAAATCATTTTTTATTGTTTTTATTTCATGTACAACTTTCTTATAGCTATGACCAGAGTAATACAACTGTTATAGACGTTTAAGAGACATTCAACAAAATTTCAAAGATAAGCAAGTTATATCACAAATTGACTGTAGAAGCACCCCTATGTATTACTCTTTAACACCAAAGTGCCATCTTCCTCTTCTACTGCTGTACCTACTTCTATTAAATATGGCTAAAACATTGTTTCAAGTTTTCCAACCCCTGAACTTGCTCTTATTCCAATAAAATTATCAGGTAATACATGAAAGTAAATGGAGAATGTGGAATATCAACTTTGGAACTATTTATCTTTTTTTTTTTGCCTCACGGCATGCAGGTATTAGTTCCCCGACCAAGGATCAAACCCACGCCACCTGCAGTAGAAGCTCAGAGTCTCAACCACTGGACCACCAGGGAAGTCCCAACTTGGAACTATTAAGGCAGTTTAAGGTGAGGGGAAAAAAGATGAGTCTGGTTAAAAGAGTTATCCTCTTTCTAATGCTACTTTGTATGTTTTTTCTCTTGATATTTCTGGCCCCAAATTGTTACAAACTCATTTGACAGATGTACTTTTACGTGTGGAAGTAGTTACAGAAAGAGTATTTTAAGTTATTTTCACCCCACATTCCAGACACAAAGATTGGTTAACAATAACTGGCTATATGATACTTGATTATATGAAATATCACCAACTTGTGTAAAGTTTAAATGGTCCAAAATGTGTACACGTAATAGGATCCAGTCTGATATACTGCAGCACCAGATATACCCCAAATAATTCAAAAGCCATGACTTCTATGCTAACTTTGACATCCTATTGCCTTACTCTCAAAACAGTGGTTTTCAGCCCTCATTGCCCTTTAGATCATCTGGGGAACTGTGAAAAAATATGATCTTTAGGTCCCATTTACAGAGTTTGACTCAATTAGTTTTGGGTGAAATTTGGGTACTGATATTTCTTACATCTCCACATACACGAAGGAAGTCACACTGTGCTTAAGTGCTGGGATAATCTGAAACAAATATACATGCACGCAACCTATGCATCATCCTCTTTAATGATTTTAACTTTCCCTATATTCACACTAGTTCTAGTTAAAATTACAATCAATTGGCAAGCTTTAAACCTGATCTTACTTCCCTTTAGGTCTTTTAAGTTCTAACTCATAAGGAAATATTTTAATTAACACTAATTTTGTAAACAACCTTGTTATGGAGGAAGGGAAATACTTAGAATTAAAAGTATTAAAATAATCTCACCTCTGTTATCTAAAGCATTCATAACCAATATAAATTGTCGAAAAAATTCCACATTATAGTCAGGGCTACAAAGTAAAACAACAACAAAAAAAAAAGGTCACCAAAACAACCGGCCTTACACATGAGCTTCACAGTATAATACAGGGTCCTAAAAAGCACATTAAAGTAATAAAAGTACAAAAATAACTGATATTAGGGGTCTCTACAATATAGATAGGTTTGACTTTTCCCCAAACACCAGAAACAGATTTAAACCACACATCTGTTTTGGCCAGCTACCTCGGGCACGGAGCAGAATCTCAAACTGGCATGACTTTGAGAGTCCCACCAGGCCTTCTTGGGGCAGCAAGTGCCTGGGAACATACAAAGAATACATTCCCAGGATCTGCCTGGCCTGTAGCTTCACCTCACATGGTCAGGATCAGGCAGGGTTCAGGCCCCTAGGGTCCCTGCTTTTAGCAGCACTGGGAAAGCAACACAGGGTAAGGAGGTTGTAGGGCTATAGGCAAGCTTGTAGAGCAAACATCCAGAGAATGAAAAGGAAGCTGGAAACACAAATTCCCTGAGAAAGCATAAGACTTTCTCTAATCCAGGCCTCAAACAAGAACTCATTATTTTTAAAACCACTTACTTGTGGACAACAACTATAGATAAAGGACATTTTAGACGCAGGGTTCCTTTGCCCCAACACCTCCAAAATTATATTTTTACTCTATCTTTACTGAGATCAGAGTATATTTATGTACCATCAAAACTACTGCCCCATCACAATTCCCAGTGTCATATTACAGAAGTCACAGTCCTAACAAACAAATTATTTTGAGAGGGAACCTTTTAAACTGAAAAAGGCCACAGCTGAAATCGATCAGAATGAGAGCAATATATTTAGAAAAGTCTGAATCATCATGTATATTGATTTCTTACAGTTTAGAATATCTCTTTATTTAAAACAAGAATATAAGGTCCTTTTAGGTTTCCAAGTAACTTATTTATTGAAGGTATTAAAGTAAATGATCTCTTATCTAAATCATTCAAATTATATATATATACATATATATATATATACACACATATATATATGAACTGTTAAAACAATGTCACTTATATGGACACAACCTACTACATTTTAATTATTCTAGAAAAATTTTTAAATAAGCAGAATGACTCTGAGTTCATATATTTAGCTAATAAAAGTATTATACTTTAAAGGTTTAATTAAAAATTCACAGCAAACACAATTTTGCAACATAATAATTAGAGCATACTTCATGATGCTGTCATGGTAGGCTATGATATTAGCTTTCGGGTAAAACTGCAGTACACTTTCTTTGGCAACCTGGAAAAACAAACAACACTAAATTAATAATTTACTAAATTACTACAACATTTCTATCTGAATATGAAATCTATCTATGGCAGACAATAGTTATTTCACCTACTTATATACACTTGTACATGAATGGTAAGCTTCAGCAAAAATATCAAATGCAGTAAACAAGTGTCATTCATCCATTCAACAAATATTTACTAAGCATCTTCCATATATCAGAAACTGTATAAGGCACTTGGTGAGCAAAAGTGACATTAATCAAATAACCATCCAGATAAATTTAACTACAAACTATGATAAATGATACACAGAAAAAGTAGAGGCTGTAGTGAGTGGAAGATATGATTTAGTCTAAGAGATTTAGGAAAGCACGCCTAGAGAAAATCTGAAAAATGAAAAGGAGAAAAGAGTGAAAGTTTGCCCAAAAAGCTGGGAGAAAAGCAAAGAGAAAGATGTTTTAAAACCCTGAATCAAGATGGAACATTCAAGGAACTAAAGAAAGATCAGGATGGCTAGAACCTCAGGGGAGGCTGTCTTCTTCTAAAGGGAACAATGACATAAGCTGTAGCTTCTCTTGCCCACAAACACAGGAGCAGCCAAGCTCTAGGCAATGTAGGAACACAAGGCTCATTCTAAGTAAACGATCAGAAATTTAAGGCCATTTACAGGATTGGGTAGAGCACTTTTATTTCCTCTGTAGATAAGAAAGGATGGCACAGTCTTCTGTCTTTTTCTAGACACCTTCTTATTCTTCATAATCCCTCAGCTAAAAAGAGATGGCTTCCCCCATATTCTCCCTCCTACTAGAGAGTCCAAATTAACCTAATACCATAAATAGAAGATACACCAAAGGGCAGAAATATAAGTGAATAAATAAAAATGATATGAGAAATACAAAGTTACCTGGGCCTTTGATCTTCCAACATGTTTCTTTTGAAACAAAAACTGCCTGTTGAGGTTGCTGACATCAATAGTATCCAGATCAATCTACAAATGCATAAACCCCAGATAAATCACAAATTTCCTGGTATGTTTGAGCAATACGTATCACTATACTCAGCATCCATAACCCGGAACTTTTGATATCTGCTACGTTAGGGGAGAAAATGCTTTTTGACCAATATACTAAAGTTGTTAAATTGATAAAAATAATTTAATGCGTATTAAAACAAAACAAGATTTAATTTCAGAGACAACTTTCTCAAAAATATTTTAGAAAGGATGCTTTTTTTGTTCATTTGTTTAATCATACTAGCAAATATGTTAGGAAATTCCTTAGATGACAAAATGATGCTAAAAATGCATTATATTTCCATCATTTCTCTATCAATCTGATTACTCTTTCAAATCCAACATAACAGATCTAACTGTGCCCTGTTCTTTTTCTTAAATGATACCTGGCAAATAGATTTACTGAATTTTTGCTGCTTTCTTTAATTCAAAAGTCTTTACCCACACACAATTTCATTTACAATCATTACTTGAGGGCTGTGGAGGGAAACTTCTACACAAAGTTAGAAGTCTCACGTTTTAAGTCTTATCTAATTGCTGCTTCAAAGTAAATATAAGAGAAGAAATAATTATAACTAAAACCATTTTCACTCCATTTCAATAAAGTTACATGAAGAGTAATCAAATGTTCTAACTGTGAAACACCCTAATGGTTTTGGTGAAAATCACCAAAACATATAATCACCTAACATTTTTTATCTGTGCTTTCTAAATTTACTACAAAAATTAAACCAAATAAAAAAGGATCAGCATTTATTTTTCAGGTGCCCCAATTCACTGTCTCGTCTATTACAAAATGATCCTTTTGAATAAGTATTAGTAGGTATTAGCTATGCCACATTCGTATTTGGGATACAGAACTGAATGGAAAGACTAACCCTATAAAAACCAATGGAAAATGCGTAAATGCTTTTCCCCCCAGTCACTCATTTATTAGTTCAGTCGGCCACCTCTACTTTTTTTTTTTTAATTCCATGTTTCCACTACACCTTAAGATGCTATAAACTCACATCCAAATTTCAGGCTACAACTCCAATCTCTAAAAAGTTTACATTAACAGAAATGACTTGACTCAGAATTACAGTAACTTCCCGTCACTGTTCAACAATGCAAAAGTTAAAATCCTAACCAATACCTTTAACGAAATAATCTACGGTGATAACAACGACTGTCACGCAGATTGCACCCAGAAGAGAGGAGCGCGAGCCACAAAGGAGTCCTAGGTAAGTTACTAAACCCCACAGTACCTCACTTTTCCTCTTATCTGTTAAAAATAAAATGGGGTGAAGACAGCGTTTACAAGCCTATGATGGTAGTGAAGATTAAGTGCGTTAAGGCGAGTCAACCGCGCAGGACAGCGCCGGGCTCGGGACAAGCGCTCAGTAGGTCCTGGATGTTACCACCGCCATCCTCTGCTCTGCGTATTATTTGAGTTAAGGGGGACTTCGAATTGAACACTCACAACATCCCCAAGGGACTCGAGGCAATCCTCTCCTGCCTCGGTTAAAGCTGGGGAACTGCTCTGAAGCGAAGACACGAGGACTCTTCCACACCCCAGAGCCGCCACAAATTGGCGCTGCCTGGGAGGCGGGGGACGGCTCTTCGCGGGACGCCCGGAAGACCCGGGCCCTTGGCCTCCTCAGCGTGCGGAGCGGGCCCGGCGTGCAGCGGCGCCCGCCCCGTAGCCGCCGAAGAGCTCCCTCTAGGCGGGCAGCGACGACCCCAGGGCCTCTTGGTCCGCCCCCGCACCCACAGCTCAGGTCCGGACCTCCGGGCCCCGATCCCCCGGCCCCGGCTCCACGGCCCGCCATTCAGCCCGCGCGCACGCCTGGCCCTCACCAGGTCGATGTGGGAGAAGCCGGTGAGCACGAGGTTTTTGAGGAGCTCGCAGCCGATGCCGCCCGCGCCCACCACCAGGACCCGGCCCCCAGCCACGGCCTCGGCCAGCTCCCGCGGCAGCCCCCGCGACAGTGCCATGGCGGGACAACCACGAGCCTCGGCGCAGGCGGAGGCGGGAGAACTGAGCCGCGGCCGGAAGTGAGTGGGGGAGGGGCGGCATAGCTTCCGTTCCTGCGCACTACGGCCGCCTGTCGGCGCTGAATGGGCGGGGCCTGGGGACCTGGCCAGTCCGCGAGCGGCCCGGACTGGGCTCGACTGTGAGCGGAAAACCCTTCACACCTCCGGCTGTACTCCAGACTCGTAGTGCTTCGTACCGAGGCGCGTAGTTCTGCTATCCGGCTTAAGATTTATTAGATTTTTGATGTGTATTTTTAAAAAGTACTTTGCAGCATATATGTAACCGAGCAAAGGCCTCTTATGCCCCAAGTGAAGAAAGCCAAACTTTGACAAGGGGAGTTTGCAGCAAAGTAAGGACTTACTGCAGGGTGCCAAGCAAGGGAGTGGGAAGCAAGCCTCAGATCCACTTCAACTTGGTCTCCGAGTTAGGGTTTTTTGTTTGTTTTTTTTTTTGCAGTACGCTGGCCTCTCACTATTGTGGCCTCTCCCGTTGCGGAGCTCCGGACGCGCAGGCCCAGCGGCCATCGCTCACAGGCCCAGCCGCTCCGCGGCAGGGCACGGACTCTCAACCACTGCGCCACCAGGGAAGCCCTAGGGGTTTTTTTTTAAGGGTGAGGAATGGAATATTTCCTGCCACATCAGTAAACAAAGGATGTCAGTCATCAGCAATTGCAGCCCTCCATCCGTGAGCTGGTGAGCCCCAAGGAAACTCAGGAAGGAAAGAATACCTGCCATCTAGCAGCCATCAGACTGCAGCCACTCCCTACCGTGAGCCCTGAGGGAACTGAGGATGTGAAAACTTTTACAGGATACTGGTCCCAGATAGCTGAGGTGCATATCAAAGGAATGATTTCAGTGAGCCCAGACTCTTGCATCTTCCCATACATAGAAAAGCACTAAATTCCTTAATTTGGGGTATCTGGTTTTCTTTAATTTAGAATACTCCTTTGATGTTCCAACTACCTGCCCTTTGTTGCAAAACTTCTGTATAACCTGGCTCTACCCCCACCACCACCTCCTCAGAGCAGTTTTCTCAGGGTTACTTGAGATGCTGCCTCCTGGGCTTGAAGTCCTAAAAATTCCCACCAAATAAAACATAACTCTCAACTTTTAGGTTGTGAATAAATTTTTATTTCCACAAGGGGAAGAACGAAGAGGCTGGGATTAATCATCATCTTGTGACATTTCTGTGACATTTCTTAATTGTAGTTTTGGGAGTTAGGATGTCTCTGGTTTACAATTTTCTGGCTACGTGGTCCATGGTTCAGGACTCTGTTAGGTCATCTTCCTCTGGAGAAACAACATGAGTTTATACCTTAATGGTGACATCTATAATAGCAAGGTTAGTACATTAACGATGTTATCAACAACAGCAATTTTAGCCATCTGACTCTGGGTGATTAGTGTTCAGTTACCACAGGATTGAAATCGGAGGGGATAAGAAAGGGAATAAAGTTTTGGAGAGAGAGATTTATCATAAACTCAGTAAAGGAACTCGATTTCCAGGGGACTCAGTTTCAGTTACAAAGTACATCCTGGGAAAATATTGATGGTGGAAACACTCATAATATTGAATGAAAAAGATACAAGGACTTCCTTGGTGGTCCAGTGGTTAAGAATCCGCCTGCAAATGCAGGGGACGCGGGTTCCATCCTTGATCAGGGAACTAAGATCCCACATGCCACGGGGAAACTAAGCCAGCAACTGCAACTACTGAGCACATGCACTCTGGAGCCCACGAGCCACAGTGAAGAGCCCAGCAGGCAAAAAAAAAAAAGAAAAAGAAAAGACAAAGATACAAAACCACACATATGATTAAATTTTGTTAAAAAATAACTTTTTTTAAACAGGAAGAAAATAACCATGGTTAATATTTTTGTGTATCTGTGTGTGATAAAATTGTGGACAATTTTTATTTCTCCTCTGAACTTTACTGTATTTCCCAGATGCTCATTCTCCTCAAAGAAAATATGAATTTTAAAATCAGAAAAAATTATTAGAAGAAAAAAGGATGGTGTGAAAGGAAAATCAAAATAGAGTATTGCTAAGAGAGCTCTCCAAAATGGAGCTGGAAGGCTACTGACAAAGTAATTTATGCATGGCTCAGCCTGGATGAAATCTGACGTTTTGACCACTTACTGTCCTAATGAAGGCATCCAGAACATCTGCCAGAAAGTTGATACTTACCGTAATATAACTCATGACAGCCTATCTATTTATCAGATCCTTAACCTAAAACAACTCGTGACCGCCATCCCTAAGGATGAGTATTTCTTTTCTTGTGTCAGAGTACAGTCTCGTGGCTTTTGCCTTTATAAGCCCCTGACTTTCTCTCTTCCCCAGAACACTCCTTCCCTTTTAATCAAATCTGTGTCTTCCGAATTGCAATTCTTCTGACGCCAAATATACTCTTTTCTTATCTTCTTTCTTCGTTTTGTTGGTTGACAGTGGAAAACAGAGGAAAATGCTTTTGAATTCTGTGGTCTTTCTCATCAGTTGCTTGGTTCACCAACCACACACCAAGCCTGATCTGTGAGGAGTACTCGGTCTGTTGCCCTGATCCATGAGACGAAGGAAGGGCCAGGGCACCCAACCATGGTTGGGGTGGGAGGCACCCTTGCATAGTAAGCTGCTGATGTTCCTTCCCTACTACTGGCTCTCATAAAGGCCCCCTGTGGCAGCTAAAGCTAAAAGAGGTCTTCAACAAGATGCTGACCTTCCTTCTCCCACTAGACACACAGTGGATAGAGCCACCTTCCTTTGCTTCTTTCCTGCCTCCCCCCTCTTCACTTGGCCTGGGCTGGACACCTAACCCTGAGGCTTTGCTCTTCTTCGTGGGTTGGTGTGTTGTTAAAAACAAGATACAAGCTCAGAATGGAGTCGCTTATGCTAAGCCCCATGTCACCAAACTGAGACTTAATTACAGTTTCGGCTCTCCCACAAATAGAATCTTGAACCATCAATCAGGAATCACCAGATCAGCACTGGGTTAGGTAATCTACCTGAGAGACCCCTGCCATCCCCTAAAGGAAAGTAACTTGGCAATAACCTACCCCCTTTTTTGCTGATAAAACTTTCTTGTTCTTGTCCCTTTCTGCCTGTAAAAGTCATTTTGTTTAGCTCCTTGAAGCTCCTTCCTTTCTGCTAGATTGGGTGCTGCCTGGTTCCAATTGATTTTTGCTCAAATAAATTCTTATACCTCAGTTGATCTTTTAACAGTGTGTATAAAGTATAAAATGCTTGCCCACCTTAACAAATTCAAATAGGATGCAAGTGCAGGAAGTAAAAACTGAAAAGCACCACTCACAAAATTGCACACCTAATCCTACTCCTCAGGGCCTTGCTGGTGTTTATATTTCCAGATCTAGATCTTTTACACAGCACTATGAAGAGTTTTACATTTAAGTGGGTTCACACTAGACTTGTTTTCTCGTATCTTGCTTCCTTAACAATATGTCACAAACATTATTTCTATGGGATCATGGGAAATGCCCCTGCTAATCTGTACTCTATTTTGGTAAGACCTCATACAAACATGTATAACTAGATTCAAGAACATGTTTGGTTGGAAGCACAAGTTGTCTCCACCTAAAAGTCAGCCACATTACACCTAGCTCAGATATCTGCAAATGTCTGTATCAACAGTTTAAAGCAACAATTCTACCCCATCCTCTCATCAAAGGAGGGTACTCTCTGGCCATTTAAATAAATCCAAAGTGATATACCTGCAAATATAAGCAGTATGTTTTCTGCTCCAGTTGGAGTGAGTGGTCTGACAGTCTGAGGGATTCTCCACCCACAACAGAAGTGCCACAGGGGAACCGGTGGTCACTTCTCCAGCATGACAGAGGAGGAATCAAAACCTCTCTCTGCAGGTCCACACTCAGCCTCGGCCCTGCAAACCCAGTGATCCTGAAATATCACTGACCAACACCTTCACTTTCTTCTACACAGCCAGCCACTTTCCCCCACGTGCCTCCCACCCTCCCAGGAAAGGGGGAGAGGGCAGGGCAGCATCAGATAGGGTTCTCACCAGTCACACACTGCCCAGGAGAACCACATCTCATGATAATATGGGCCTAATGTGTTATTTACCAAAGTTTATGTTTATTAACATAAATCAATCAAACTATTTATGTTAATACCCAGTTTCCTCATCTATGCAGGCAAACAGCAGGTCTGTACACAGCTGGTGGAGGTGTTTTCATGCTGCTATCAAGGGGGTAGCAGAATGGAAGCAGCTGATAACATAAAAACTAAATGGAGAAAGGGGAGATTGGAGAGGTAGACAGCTGGATGGAAGGACAATGTCCAGAAGAAAGAAAGGGTCCCTTCCTGTGATGCTTTAGGGGCAGGAGGTGAGGGCGGAGAGCCTGGGGTGGGAGAACACCAGGCAGGTATAAACAGCTCATGTCACAGGGCAGGAGCCTCAAGCAGCTGGAGCAGTTCCAGTAGTTTGCTCTGTCAGCACCCAGGGACAGCAAAAGTGCCAAGGCTGCAGGGGTAGTATGTGGCTGGCTGCGCTCATGGCTCTCCAGCTGCTCTCCCTCCTAGAACCCACCGGTCTAATTACATAGGATCACCTGCCCTCTGGGTTACAGGGGAGCCACATTCTGAGCTGCCACTGTGGACACAGGCCACTGACCCTGGAAGGGTTAACCAGCCCACAGCTGGGAGGTTCTAGTCCTGGCTCCAGACCCATCAGGGGTGCCAAAAAGCAAAAAGAAACAAGAAACAAGAGCTAATAAACTGTGAGTCAAAATGAGGTAAAAACACAATTTAAACATTAAAATTTGCTTTAATTTATATAAACAAAAGGAAAGGGCTTCCCAGGTGGCACAGTGGTTAAGAATACGCCCTGGTCCAGGAAGATCCCACATGCCACAGAGCAACTAAGCCCGTGGGCCACAACTACTGAGCCTGTGCTCTACAGCCCGTGCTCCGCAACAAGAGAAGCCACC